CTCTGTCCCTGCTGATTCCCCATGTGCAGCATCTACACGTGCCTATTTTGAAAACATCCCTAATCCGCCAAGTCCTGCTAACAAGGCTGCTATGATTGCTTTTATGGATCATATGATTGGTAATGGAACCCGTACACCAGACCCAGTTTGTGCTGCTTCCACCAGAGCTTACTGGGATGCATGGAAGGATGGAAAAGGAGAGCTTGAATCCAATCTTGCTGCTGCTGAGGGCTTCTTTGAGGAATTTGCTAAGGGATCATCTATCCCAGCTGATTCTCCTTGTGCTGCTGCTACTAGAGCTTATTACAAGACCATCCCTAATCCTCCATCTGGACCCAACAAGGCTGCCATGGAAGCATTTATGGACAAAATGATCAAAGATGGAGAACGAGTACCAGACCCAGTGTGTGCTGCTTCAACAAAAGCTTACTGGGAGGCCTACAGACATGGAGTTTCTGAAACTAAGGCAAACCTAGCTGCTGCTGAAGGTTTCTTTGCTGCTTACAATGATGGCCTAAATATTCCAGCTGACTCTCCCTGTGTTGCTGCTACCAAGGCATATTATTCTGCTCTTCCTAAAGCACCAAGTGGTCCCAATGCTGAAGGTATGATCAGCTTTATTGATCACATGATCAAGAATGGAGGAAAGAGAATTTATGATCCAGTGTGTGCTGCTGCATCTAAAGCCTTCTTTGATGCTCATAGAAATGGAGATTCTGAACTGACAGCTAACCTCAAGGCTGCTCAAGCTTTCTTCAAAGAATACAGAAAAGGATCCACTCTTCCAGCAGACAGTGCTTGTGCTGCTGCTACAAAGGTTTATCATTCTCAAATCAAGAATAAGCCTAGCCAGCCCAATGCCCTTGCCATGATAACCTTTATAGAAGAAGCCATCAGTGGAGATAACAACAAACTTGACCCTGTGTGTGCAGTTGCTGCTGAAGCATACTTTGATGCATATCTCAGTGGTAAATCTGAAGCAAAGGCCAACCAAGCTGCTGGTATTGCTTTCCTTGATGCTGTTGCCAACACACCTTCTTATTCTCCGGAGAGTCCTTGTGGAAGATCTGCTGAAACATACATGAAGAGTTTTGAGCTGTAGGAATATTCTATATATTCTTCATTGTATGTCATATTCATTCTAGAGATCCTAGATCAACAACTTTTATTGATTTCTAGAAAGTGTCACATTATTTAGTTTTTTATTTTATTCTAAAATAAAAGTAGTTTCTGTATTATTATTTTTATTATTATGTAAGTTCTAAGTTTTAGATGCAATTTTATGCTACAAATTGAAGTCATATTAAATGTATATAATAATTTCAATATTTTGGCGACTCAAGATACCTGCAGAAGTAATTTTAATTTGTTTCCATTTAATGATAAAGTTCTTCTTTGTATATGTCTTGTTTGTTCGTTTGTCTGTTTGTATCCTGTAAACATCAAAACTGCATAACTTAGGGTCCAAATTTTTGGTAGTATCTCAAAAGATCACAAGGGAAGGGTTTAGGGTATTTTTTAGAGTATTTTTTAGATCTGTTTATAAATTCATGTCTGTTCGAGAAAACCTATATTATTTTAAAAGATAAAAATTTCCATATAAGATATTTGATTTTTAAGAAGTTTAGTAACATTACCAATAAGACAAGAATCATTCCGCACTCTAAGATAATGTCGTCTTCTATTTCAAATTCAAGTTAGAAATAAATTGGTTTCATTAAGGCTGGGCAATGTTCCATTATTGAAACGGAGCTATTTGAAAACTAATGGAAGAGTCTGTTATTGAATTTTATAGTTAACCAAACGGATTAGCCATTTTTTAAAAAAAATTAAAGGTTGAAAACAAAAAACAAAACCAATTTTTTTTAAACTGATAATTTTTTCTGTTTAAAATTGCATTACACTTTTTTTTAAATTAAAATTTTGTTACGAGTTTTGATATTTTTACATTTTATCTTTGTCGCCATTAACGCTTTTAATACTGCAATTGACCATTAATGGCTATTCACGATTTCATGAAATGTTAACGAATATTTTTTGGCGCTTTGCGTCCTTAACCCAGCTAATACTGCATAAGACCGTTAACGGCTGTGTCATTTACGATTTCATTGACCTTTAATGGATTTCTAATAACTGTACCATTAACGGCTAACAACATTAAAACAGTTGTTCAAAATTTTCCATTAACGCCATTAATAAAATTGAGATCGTTAACTAACAGTAATAAAAAAGGAAAACAAACATTTCGTTTTACTTTAAAATAAACGGCTACCTGAAATTTTTCTTTTTTTAACGGTTGGAACTGACCCCAGCCCTAGGTTTCATTAAATTAGTTTAAACTGGATATTTTTAGATTTCTCAGAGGATTATAGAAGAATTTCTCGTAAAAGATGTTTAGGGTTAAATTAGGAAATACATTTTGCTTTAAAAAAATTAAATGGCGTTTAAAAAAAATTTACAAAAATTTATGACATACAGAAATTTAAAATGAAATTTGAAAGTTGTATATAAAACAGTATGCCTCTATATGTATAAAATTAAGTTAAAAGAATTATCAGCCTCTATAACATTTTATTTTTAAAATGGTATTTACTTCAAATTTATCAATTCAAGTTGTCATATTTATCTAATGAAAAGTTTAGGGGTTTTAATTTTAGAAAATATAGAAGACGTTCAAAAGACCAGAAAATGTCTTTGATACATTTAAATTAATTTTTTAAAATTCCCTTCATTAACAAATTGGTCAATCCCTGAATTGTAAAGAGAAATTTTCGTTGGTTATTCTGCTCGTAAAACTAAAATACTGGATTAAAAAGATCACCAATTCAACCAAAACATTAGACTTCTTTTCGTTTAATTATTTCCTTAAGAATAGTATGTAATTTCCAACCATGCCATCCACTAATCTTACTTCCATCTGTTATGTTTATGAGAAAATTGTTAAAAATGACTTATACCAAAGAACGCAGCGTAGCGTCCATGCAAATTCAGAAAGTTGCAACATACAATTCGGATTGTAAAAAAATCTATTTAATTATAAACAAATCATTCAGATATTACAGCCTTTTTCCACGCATTCGTATATAGTTGATATTTCATGATATTTTTTATTCTTTATGATCTGAGAGTTACTTTTGAAAACATTTATTCCTGTTTCAAGGATTTTTGAAAATGAAGACGACATTTGCATATTTAACAGGAATGTTTTAGACGCAACAGATTATAGTAGTAAGATTAGTAGCCATCAAAAGCGATTATTTTTTGCTTTTAGACTTTATTCCCTTTAATATGTCGCGAACACTCCCTTTAGAACAGTCATTCCATTTCTACAATTTGTTATAAATGTGTAATTGTTTACGGTGGTTATATGTTGACGTAAATAAATTATTAACGATGTCTATTCTTTTATGATATTGATTGTTAAAGATAGTTAATAAAGCAGAAAAACGCACAAGTGTATAAGAATTTTGCAAATTACTTCTCTTCACCTTGTGCTCATAACCAGGGCTTTAAAGTTACGAAATGATTATGTCTTACAGAAAAAGTCTAAGCGAATTATTGAGGTTAGGTCACTCCAAGGTCGACCTCGTCTAGAAAATTTTATTCAACTTTGTGTAACAGTTAGGATATTTGTGAACTCTACTAATTTGATCATATTAAACTCACAGAACTCTGCACAATAAACAAATATCGCATACATTTCACTAGCAGGGTTTGATGGGCCAACAGTCCAGGTTTGCCGTACATAGTCTGTAATTGTACTGCACACTGTACAGCTAGAGCTCTAGCTAGTCGATCTGGTACTGTGTGAACCAAAATACATCAAAATTTAAAACTCAATAATTTAGACATACGTGTTCCAAATTATTTCCAAAATAATACAAGGTTATCTTTTTAAACATTTTAAACATATGTTTTTAAATTTGAATTTTAACTATTTTTTTTTTAATTTTAAAATGTTAGAGCGAATAGATGAACAATGACTATATTTCTAAATTACTAATTCTAAAGTTCTAAAGCCAGGGTTAATCTTCTTTAATTTAAATCAAATGATGGATGTAAAAGCTAAATAAAAGATATTAAGAAAACTAAATAAAAATATCAAATGAATATAGAAAATGGCGAATGTAAAATTTGCAATATTGGTTGAATACAAATTGAAATGATATCATACTCATTCCTATTATCTTAAATCTATCGAAATAAAGACATTTTAACCTTTTTCTGCTGGGTTCAAAGAGGACGTTTCTATATGTGAATTTTGAGAACTAATTAAGATCAATATAACGTTTTTAAAAGAATTTAAACATTTCATTTTAATGTACTAACAAAAATGCAAGCAGCAGTATAAATTTCTATCAACAGGGTTAAAAAAAATAAAAATTTAGTAAACATTTTTTTTTTACCAAACTTAAGTAAATAACTAAGATACATATTTCTATTTTTATTTCATTATAATATTACAAATTTAAATAAATGAGGTGATTGGTACTTAGAGATCAGGAAGGTTGATGATCCTGAAGATTAATAAAATACAGAATGAATATAATATACTTAATACAGTCAAAACTGATCTTACAGCTCGAACGTTTTCATGTATGTTTCAGCAGATCTTCCACAAGGACTCTCTGGAGAATAAGAAGGTGTGTTGGCTACAGCATCAAGGAAAGCAATACCAGCAGCTTGGTTGGCCTTTGCTTCAGATTTACCACTGAGATATGCATCAAAGTATGCTTCAGCAGCAACTGCACACACAGGGTCAAGTTTGTTGTTATCTCCACTGATGGCTTCTTCTATAAAGGTTATCATGGCAAGGGCATTGGGCTGGCTAGGCTTATTCTTGATTTGAGAATGATAAACCTTTGTAGCAGCAGCACAAGCACTGTCTGCTGGAAGAGTGGATCCTTTTCTGTATTCTTTAAAGAAAGCTTGAGCAGCCTTGAGGTTAGCTGTCAGTTCAGAATCTCCGTTTCTATGTGCTTCAAAGAAGGCTTTTGATGCAGCTGCACACACTGGATCATAAATTCTCTTTCCTCCATTCTTGATCATGTGATCAATAAAGCTGATCATACCTTCAGCATTGGGACCACTTGGTGCTTTAGGAAGAGCAGAATAATATGCCTTGGTAGCAGCCACACAGGGAGAGTCAGCTGGAATATTTAGGCCATCATTGTAAGCAGCAAAGAAACCTTCAGCAGCAGCAAGGTTTGCGTTGGTTTCAGAAACTCCATGTCTGTAGGCTTCCCAGTAAGCTTTTGTTGAAGCAGCACACACTGGGTCTGGTACTCTTTCTCCATCTTTGATCATTTTGTCCATAAATGCTTCCATGGCAGCTTTGTTGGGTCCAGATGGAGGGTTAGGGATGTTAGCATAATAAGCTCTGGTAGCAGCAGCACAGGGAGAATCAGCAGGGATAGATGATCCCTTAGCAAATTCCTCAAAGAAGCCCTCAGCAGCAGCAAGATTGGATTCAAGCTCTCCTTTTCCATCCTTCCATGCATCCCAGTAAGCTCTGGTGGAAGCAGCACAAACTGGGTCTGGTGTACGGGTTCCATTACCAATCATATGATCCATAAAAGCAACCATAGCAGCCTTGTTAGCAGGACTTGGCGGATTAGGGATGTTTTCAAAATAGGCACGTGTAGATGCTGCACATGGGGAGTCAGCAGGGACAGAAGAACCTTTGGCAAACTCATCAAAAAAGGCCTCTGCAGCAGCCAAGTTGGATTTCAGTTCCCCCTTGCCAGCCTTCCATGCATCCCAATATGCTCGAGTAGCAACAGCACAAACAGGATCAGCAGTTCTCTTGGATCCATCAGTTATCATTTTGTTCATAAAAGCTTCCATGGCAGCTTGATTGGCAGGGCTTGGGAGCTTCTCAGTTGCCTTCCAGTATGCCCTGGTTGCAGCAGCACAAGGAGAATCAGCAGGAATTGTTGACCCTTTAATAAACTCTTCAAAGAAGGCTTCTCCAGCAGCAAGATTAGCCTCTAATTCAGATGCACCCTTCTTAAAGGAAGCCCAGAAAGCAAGAGTAGATGCAGCACACACTGGATCAGGAGTTCTCTCGCCATCAGCAATCATTTTATCCATAAATGCTTCCATAGCAGCCTTGTTAGGTCCAGATGGAGGGTTGGGAATGTTGGCATAATATGCTCTAGTGGCAGCAGCACAGGGAGAGTTTACAGGAATGTTTGAACCTTTGGCAAATTCATGGAAAAAAGCTTCAGCAGCTGCAAGGTTGGAACTCAGTTCATCATCTCCATTTTTGTAGGCATCCCAGTAAGCACGCAGAGACATGGCACAGACAGGGTCAGGGGTTCTTTCTCCATCAGCAATCATTTTATCCATAAAAGCTTCCATAGCAGCCTTGTTGGCTGGACTAGGAGGGGTAGGAATGTTTTCATAGTAAGCACGAGTAGCAGCTGCACAAGGGGAATCAGCAGGAATCTTGGATCCCTTCATGAACTCATCAAAGAAGGCTTCTCCAGCAGCAAGATTGGATGTAAGCTCATCTTCTCCAGATTTCCATGCATCCCAGAAAGCTCGAGTAGAGATGGCACATACAGGGTCTGGTTGTCTTGGTCCATCAGCAATCATTTTATCCATGAATGCTTTCATTGCTGCTTTGTTAGGAGGACTAGGAGCATTAGGAAGATTTTCAAAGTATGCTACTGTAGATGCAGCACATGGAGAGTCAGCTGGAATGGTTGATCCTTTAGCAAACTCCTCAAAGAAAGCTTCTGCAGCAGCAAGATTAGCTTCAACCTCAGAGGCACCAGCTTTGTATGCCTTCCAATAGGCCTTGGTTGAACCAGCACACACAGGGTCAGGCATCCTTTTTCCATCCTTAATCATTTTGTCCATGAAGGCAACCATAGCTGCCTTATTGGCTGGACTTGGAGGGTTTGGAATATTATCATAGTAAGCTCTGGTTGCAGCAGCACATGGAGAATCTACAGGAACTGTGGAGCCAGCAGCAAACTCTTCAAGGAAAACCTCAGCAGCTGCAAGGTTTGAGGTCAACTCATCATTTCCAGCCTCATAGGATTGCCAGAAGGCCTCAGTAGATCTCCAGCAAATAGGATCTTGTTCAAACTTCTGAGTAGAAAATGCTTTGTCAATAAATGCAATCATAGCAGCAGCATTTGGAGGGGAAGGCTTCTTTTCCAGAGCATTGAAGTATGCCTTTGTAGCTATGGCACATGCAGGATCTCTCAATTCTTCTCCAGCTTTAGCTTTGGCAAACAGAGCCTCAGCAAAACTCTTTGCAGCAATGAGATTAGCATCAGTGTGAGACTTACCATCAAGAATAGCTTTGACATAGTCAACTCCAGAAACAGCACAAGGGTTACCAGATTGAAGGCCAGGGAAGTTGTTCATAAAGGCAAGGGCAGATTTGACAACAGGGTCAGTTCCTTCTTTCTCAGCTTGTCTCCATGCTACAACAGATGCTTCGCATGCACTTCCAGCTGCTGGTTTTAATCCTTTATTATGTGCAAGAATATATGCTCTGGTAGCTTCAGCATTGGCCTGTTCAGCTGTGGCATTGTGCAGAATCATCTCCAGATAAGTTGCTGTTGTTATTGCACAGATGTCATCCCCTGCTACCTGTTTCATGTACTCTAAAGCTGCAGCAGCAGAAGGAGAAGAGGCATTTCTTGGAGCGTTTATCCTGTTGTCCTTTACCATTGGTGTATTGAGTGCTCTTTGTACATAAGGTTCAGGATCAATATAATCTGGAGAAGAAGCCTTTTGTCTGGCAAGCCTTGGGATACTTCCAGGTCCATAAAAGTTCTTATATCCATTAAAGTGTGGAGAGTAATGAACTGCTCGCATACGATCCCATTGAGGAGCAGAGGATCCTAGCCCTAACAGGGCAGATATCACCTAAAATAGTAAGTGATTAAACATGGAATATTGGACTTAGAGGGACTGTAAGCCTAATTACAGGTGACCCTCCATGAAAAGATGGCAATGTCTGATTTACACTGGTACCCTTAACATTTTTATTTGATCAAGTATGAATTAAACATCCATAATTTTATTTCTTTATCCCTATTCAGGCTGACGTCTGGTTTACCCAAAATAGTCTGGTTGGGGGTCCCAGGGACCCCTTTCCATTTCCTTAATGTGATGCAAATCTATTTTGAATAGAGAAACTTAATATGCATTTTAAGCTCTAGCTGATAAGAAACAATGAAGAATAAAATGGAATGAAATACTTTTAAAATACGAAAAGCTACAATATTATCCACATTATTATCTGAGATATCTTTTTTATCAGACATTTCAATCTGTTCATGGAGGGTTTCTGGAAATCACACTTGAAAAATAAAAAAGATAACCTTAATAAAAAAATCCAAAGACATAATATCATTGGTGAAAATGGAAACTTGTAATCAAATTATTGACAATTATATCTCCATTTTGAAGACAAAAAATATGTATATATTTGGAAAGCTAAAAACGTTTAAAACGTTGAGAATATTTTGCTGTATTATTTCATGCTTACCAAAAGAGTCTTCATGTTCTAGCTTTGAATATTGTTGGATGTTGGTATTTGTTGGTTGGTAGAGAGCAAACGAGAGAATGGGGTTTCTCCTTGTTGACCCACTATTTATATACCACTGGTCCTAAACCAACATCAATATGGTTCCATTATGGGTTCACAAGTTGTAGTATTGGGGCAGCCAGGTTCGTATCCATGCAGGTTTTGTAAACAAGCATATGCTACCATGTTTATTACCAGAATGCATCATGTTGTATTATAGTGTATACATTTTACTCTCTTACTTTTCACTAAAATTATTTCAATTTAATTTTTTAAGCACTTTTAGCTTATTAATTTCACAGGGTCCATCTACTTTGAAAAACAATGTTTAGTTTAATTTAATTTTTTATTCTTGGGTGTTTTTATCTAATTTCTCATGTAAAATACTTTTTGGGGGTTTATCCAACAGTTTTATTAGTACTTTAATTGTTTGTGTTTATCATATAGTCGTTTTCATTATACTTTTATACTGTTAAGTGTTAATCCTTTTCTCTCTTTTTTCCTAACATTTATAGTTCGTTCTCAAATTTTTGCGGATTTTCTTTTTAAAACGTTGCATTTTCATAAATGAAATTTCTACATTTTTTAGCAACATTTTTCAACTTTGATAAGTAAGATGAACACATTCCCTGGGATGTGAGTTGCCTCAAAAATGTTGGGCTTGATAGGTTTAGCCGTTTTTACGTCTATTGGGCACATCAAACATAACAGACAATCAAACTATGCATAATTATATATTTCTTTACTCTAACCATAACCATATATCTTTTAAACTCAATACTGACCCTTACGTTGCCCAATCTATAAATATAAAGTATAAATCTCTGTCGGTTTGTTTGTTCGAACATAACTCAGGAACCCCTAGAGTGATTTGCCTCAAATTTTGATTAGGAAACTCAGGAAGAGAACTACGAGAATTTTCTGGTTTTGAGAAAATAAGTTGAGTGGGTCGACTTTTTTTTACAATCTAGTCCACATTGTGAAAACTTCTTATAGTTTTGTTTGACCGTGTTCTGCATCTTATTCATACTCTGGGATGGTAGTCCGGGCGTCCTGGGATACATGTCATTATTCTTCATCACTCTGGTTGTCCTGTATTCCTGGAATCCAGGCCATTATTCTACATCACTCGTAGTCATGGAGTCCTGGGATGCTGGCCATTATTCTTCATCACTCGTAGTCATGGAGTCCTGGGATGCTGGCCATTATTCTTCATCAATGGTAGTCCTGGAGTCCTGTGATGCAGGTCATTATTCTTCATCACTGGTAGTCCTGGGATCCAGGCCATTATTCTTCATCACTGGTAGTCCTGGAATCCAGGCCATTATTCTACATCACTCGTCGTCATAGAGTCCTGGGATGCAGGCCATTATTCTTCATCACTGGTAGTCCTGGAGTCTTGGGATGCAGGCCATTATTCTTCATCACTGGTAGTCCTGGAATCCAGGCAATTATTCTTCATCACTGGTAGTCCTGGAGTCTTGGGATGCAGGTCATTATTCTTCATCACTGGTAGTCATGGAGTCCTGGGATGCAGGCCATTATTCTTCATCACTGGTAGTCATGGAGTCCTGGGATGCAGGCCATTATTCTTCATCACTATAGTAGTCCTGGAGTCCTGGAATGGGAGATATCACCACAATGTATTAAACTTCGATATTCTAGTTTTATACACTCATAACTGGAAAGATCCAGAAATAATTCATATTTAATCAGACGACTCTACATATTTCTGGTAATTTTAAACGTACAATAAAGGCAGACCACAGTTTAGAATTGGCAGGACTATGACTATTTTGTTATTATCATGATTATAATTGATTTGTCTACTTTCAGATACTTAAATATTGGTTTCATTAATCAGTTTTAAGTTATTCCGTGAGGGGGGGGGGTGGAGGGGATGGCCGATTCCCACTGGTATTCTTTAAACCTACATAATAGTAATTTTTTGAGTATGAGAAGTGGGGAATTCTGAAACTTTTCCACTATTTTATCTGTAGCAAAAAATTGCAAAATATTTCTTGTTGTAAAATCCTTTCATCAAAGAAGGTTTTTCTTCTGTTTGAGCTTTTCGAACGAAATTCATTTCTAAATAATGACTACCTTAGTATAAACATCGTCTTCATATTCCAGTTTTATGGCAAATTGTATACAATCTCAGAAGCTTCTCCAAAACGTATTTCGACCGGGGGCCTCAAATCAATGGTAACATAATTGCAGGATTGAAAGTATGTATATGCTCTAGAGTTTGAGTGTACTCAATAATACTTAATCCTCGTTATATTGCAGAATACAAGATACAAATCTACTAAATTTAATAGGACTGGATTTTACAGAGCCAAAACAAAAATTTAGATTTATTTTAATAACAAAGGTTGAACTCAATAACGACTGAAAATAATTAAGTCATCTTAGAAACTTAATTTAAAAAAGTTTGAAGTGATTTTAACGCCAATTCGCAAGGAGAACAGCACACACTTAAAGGGAGTGTTCGCGAAAAATGAAAGGGGGTATAGGCTTGATGCGATAAAAAGCGCTTTTGATCGCCACTAATTTTACTTCTATCTGTTGCGTCTATAAGGAGAAAATTGTTAAAGACGTCTCATACCGAATAACTTAGCGCCCATACAAATTCAGAAAATTGCAACATACGACTTAGACCGTAAAAAATCAATTTAATTTCAAACAAATCATTCAGATATAACAACCTTTGTATATAGTTTATATTTTATAATATTTTATTTTTTTTAGAAAACGTTTTAACGGATTTCGAAAAATGTGAGTGGTGCGCGGCATTCTTAGATAGTTGCCCAAGCGACGAGATAAATAATCAAATTCAAAACAAATTAATTAAAAAATATTATAAAATATAAACTATATACAAATATGGCGAAAGATAATCGATGACTATAGGTTGTAATATCTGAATGATTTGTTTGAAATTAAATTGATTTTTTACGGTCTAAGTAGTATGTTGCAATTTATTCGGTATGAGACGTCTTTAACAATTTTCTCCTTATAGACGCAACAGATAGAAGTAAGATTAGTAGTGATCAATAGCGCTTTTTTATCGCATTAATCCTATACCCCCTTACATTTTTCGCGAACACTCCCTTTAAACATCTACTAAATTTTCTTCTTAATTGGGTCTGCTACACTTATCCTTTACACTGGGTCTGCTCCACTCGCTACACTTATACTGGGTCTACTACACTTAATTACACTTTAAACTGGGTCTTCTACACTTATCCTTAAAACTGGGTCTGCTTTATTTATCCTTTAAACTGGGTCTACTACACTTATCCTTAAAACTGGGTCTGCTTTATTTATCCGTTAAACTGGGTCTGTTACACTTATGCTTTAAACTGGGTCTGCTACACTTATTCTTTAAACTGGGTCTGCTACATTTATCCTTAAAACTGGGTCTGCTACATTTATCCTTTAAACTGGGTCTGCTACACTTATTCTTTGAACTGGGTCTGCTACATTTATCCTTTAAACTGGGTCTGCTACACTTATTCTTTGAACTGGGTCTGCTACATTTATCCTTTGAACTGGGTCTGCTACACGTATCCTTTAAACTGCAGGTCTGCTCACGTATCCTTTACACTGAGTCTGCTACACGTATCCTTTTAACTGGGTCTGCCACACATATCCTTTACATTGGGTTTGCTACCCTTATACTTTAAGCTGAGTCTACTACACTATCCACTAAAAGGGTCTGCTACACTATCCTATAAACTGGGTCTGCTACATTTATCCTTTAAACTGGGTCTACACTATCCTCCACACTAGGTCTGCTACACTATCCTCTAAACTAGGTCTGCTTCACTATCCACTAAACTAGGTCTACTACACTATCCACTAAACTGGGTCTACTACACTATCCTCTAAACTGGGTCTACTACACTATCCTCTAAACTGGGTCTACTACACTATCCACTAAACTGGGTCTACTACACTATCCTCTAAACTGGGTCTACTACAATATCCTCTAAACTGGGTCTACTACACTATCCTCTAAACTGGGTCTGCAACACTATCCTCTAAACTGGGTCTACTACACTATCCTCTAAACTGGGTCTGCTACACTATCCACTAAACTAGGTCTGCTACACTATCCTTTAAACTTGGTCTGCTACGCTATCCTCTAAACTGGGTCTGCTAAACTATCCACTTAACTAGGTCTGCTATACTATCCTTAAAACTAGGTCTGCTACACTATCCTCATAAACTAGGTCTGCTACACTATCCTTTAAACTAGGTCTGCTTCATTATCCTTTAAACTGGGTCTGCTACACTATCCTCTAAACTAGGTCTACTACACTATCCACTTAACTAGGTCTGCTACAGTATCCTCTAAAGTAGATCTGCTACACTATCCACTAAACTAGGTCCGCTACACTATCTACTAAACTGGGTCTGCTACACTATCTACTAAACTGGGTCTGCTACACTATCCACTAAACTGGGTCTGCTACACTATCTACTAAACTATGTCTACTACACTATCCTCTAAACTAAGTCTACTACACTATCCTCTAAACTAGGTCTACTACACTATCCTCTAAACTTGGTCTACTACACTATCCTCTAAACTAGGTCTACTACACTATCCTCTAAACTAGGTCTGCTACACTATCCTCTAAACTAGGTCTGCTACACTCTCCTCTAAACCGGTTCTGCTACACTATCCTCTAAACTAGGTCCGCTACACTATCTACTAAACTAGGTCTGCTACACTATCCACTTAACTAGGTCTGCTACACTATCCTCTAAACTAGGTCTGCTACACTATCCTCTAAACTAGGTCTACTACACTATCCTCTAAACTAGGTCTACACTATCCACTTAACTAGGTCTGCTACACTATCCTCTAAACTGGGTCTGCTACACTATCCTCTAAACTAGGTCTACTACACTATCCTCTAAACTAGGTCTGCTACACTATCCTCTAAACTAGGTCTGCTACACTATCCTCTAAACTGGGTCTGCTACACTATCCTCCAAACTAGGTCAGCTACACTATCCTCTTAACTGGGTCTGCTAAGCTATCATCTAACTAGTTCCCGACCTATGTTATAAAATTACATAAATTTATTAATAACATCGAACTATTAATATAAACACAGTGCAGTGAGAACCAATGAATAGTGGAATAATTATCCTCTTCACTCTTTCTTTTATTAAAAATGCCGCCAATGATTTGTATGCGCAGTGGTTCAAAGGTGAAATTAACATCGTTTAAAGGGACTGTGAGCTTCATTTCAAGTGACCCACCATGAAAAGTAAACAATGCCCAATTTACTAAGGTACCCTTGACACCTTAATCTAATCAAAATGTGGAAGATAACGTCTTTTATCTTAAATAAAAAAGTGTTGATATCTGATAATATCTCCTTTATTTCGTATTTGTATAGAAACCACCATTGAAATAAAACAAGGATATTAAATTCATATTTGATCAAGCAAAGCTTTCAAATCGGCCATTGCCATCTTAGCATAAAGAGTTACTTGAACTCACGCTTACACAGTTACAGTCCCTTTAAAGAAAGAACTATTCCTATGTATATTGGATCTCACTGTAAATGAAGGAGCGTAAGGAAAGTAGAAGTTTAGCAGGAGAACTTCACTTCTTCATCAACTTCAACTGAAATAAAAATTTCTTCAGAATTTTTAAAAAATCAAAAAAGAGTCTTTTGTATTAAATATTTCAAATAGATTTCGGGAACACTTTAATTTAGTGAAAAAAAAACAAAAAAAAACACAACTATTTTGGCACAACATGGCATACCGTTCTGGACTTTAATTTTCTCTGTTTAGTAATTTTAGATTATATTATGTCCTGAGCTATAGTTCGGGAAACTGTAATCGACTAGAACCTTCTTGATATAGAAAATTTAAGCCCAAAAACCTTTTTAGCATTGCAAACTAAAATAATTGTTAAAAATATTTATGACTTGTGACAAATTAGCTGATTCACGACAAAATTAAAATTATCATTAGCCAACTAGGGTTCCATCAAAAAAAAAAAAAAATTCAGCCCATTCGGTCCAGCCGTTTGGCCAGCAATAGCTAATATAAATATAATAAATATATATGAGCGGAGAGCTTTATTATATAGATTTAATTTCACTTCAATATTCAAACAACATGAATTGGGATTTTAGAATCATCCGATATTAGATATTTGTTGGAAATAATTGCTAATTAACCCCAGTCAAGATAGAATTTGTTAAAAAAGCATCTTCCCCTCGACCCTCCCTCTTAAATAATAACAAAATCATGAATACATCAAAAAAAAAGGGATGAAGGGGGACTATTTGCCAGCTGATTTTTTAAAAACCTATTCCCCATTTGTATTCAAGGTTTTTGCTTGTGTCACTTTAGCCGGAGTCATTTTTGCCAGATTTATCTGCTAAATACAATGAACACAAAGTAATTTCTGCAAAAAAATTGAAAATCTGAATCGTTTAGGCCCCTGACTGTTCTAGCCGCATCAAATGGTCCTTCTTGTAACACAGGATAATTGCTCTACATTATTTCGGTTTAAGTTAGCCTTCTGGTTCTATGACACTGCCGGTGTCATGCATGGAGCGGACTCTTGCATGGGACTCCCCCTAAAGTTTTATCCATTTCAAAAAAGTGTTAGAAATAAAGAGCTATGTTATGACATTTTCCGATATTTATTAATGTATTTTTAGTTGAAAAACGCATTAAAAGTTATCTATGTCTCAAGTAAATATTAATGGTTTGATGATTAGAAAGGAAGAGGACAATCAAGAGGAAATAACCTTTTTTTGCCGTTACCCCCTATAAAATACATTTACAGGGTGGCCAAAACTTTTTTGAACACATCCGTACAAAAATCCGTACATTTTCAGAAGAAATCCGTACAATCCGTACAATTTTCGAAAAACAATCCGTACAATCCGTACAATTTTTTTTTAAAAATCCGTACAATCCGTACATTTTTTTTAAACCAATCCGTACATTTTTTTAAAAATCCGTACATTTTTTTAAAAAATCTGTACAATCAGCACAATTTTCGAAAAAAATCCCATTTTTGAAAAAAAACACATTAAAATTCAATTTTTCATTCATTGTCTTTTGTGTTCAGTTCATGTAAGAGGGTTTAAACTTCTTCAGCAAGAATCAATCTGTAAAAAATTGGCTTCATACATATATACAAACTAAATACTGGGTACATGATACTAGGTGCATGATACTGGATACTGGATACATGATACAGGGTACATGATACAGGATACAGGATAC